ATATGCACCTCTGATAAAGCATTAATCTCTAGGATATATAAAGAACTCAAAAAATTTAACTCCAAAAAAATTAATAAATAAATAAAACAAATCAAAATGTGTTAAGGAACTGAACAGGCACTTCACAGAAGAAGAAATATAATTGATCAATAAATATACGAAAAAGTGTTCAACATCTCTAGCAATTAGAGAAATGCAAATCAAAACTAAGATTTCATCTCACTCCTGTCTGGATGGCAATCATCAAGAATACAGGCATCAATAAATGTTAGCAAGGATGTGGGGGAAAAGGTACCCTCATATATTGCTGGCGGGACTGCAAATTGGTGCATCCACTATGGAAAGCAGTATGGAGATTCCTCAGAAAACGGGGAAAGGAATCACCGTTTGACCCAGCTATCCCACTCCTTGGTTTATACCCAAAGGACTTAAAATCAGCATAGTACAGTAATGCAGCCACATCAATATTTATAGCAGCTCAATTCACAATAGCTAAATTATGGGACCAACCTAGGTGTCCCTCAATAGATGAATGGATAAAGAAAATGTGGTGTATATACTCAATGGAATATTACTCAGCTTTAAAGAAGAGTGAAATTATGGCATTTTCCAGTAAATGTATGAAGTTGGAGAATATCATGCTAAGTGAAATAAGCCAATCCCACAAAACCAAAGGCCAAATGTTTTTCTCTAATATGCAGATGCTAATTCACAATAAGTCGAGGGGCACTTGGGAAGAATAGAGTTACCTTAGATTAGGTAGAGGGAGGTGAAGGGAGGCGAGGAGAGGGGAAGGGAGGGTTGTGGAGATAGGAAAGGTAATAGAATGAAAGAGACATTTTTAAAAAATATTTATTTCTTTTAGTTGTACACATACCTTTGTTTTTGTTTATTTATTTTTATGTGGTCAAACCCAGGGACTTGCACCCGCTAGGTGGGCGCACTACCTGAGCCACAACCCCAGGCCCCAGACATTATTACTTTATGTATATATGTGACTACATAACCAACATGATTCTGCAACATGTACACTCAGAAAAATGAGAAATTATACCCCATCTATATATGCTATGTCAAAGTGCATAAATGCACTCCACTGTCATGTATAACTAATTAAAACAAATTTAGAAATTAAAAAAAAAAAAAAAAAGCACATAGTGGCCAGGCGGGTAGAGCACACCTGTAATCCCAGCGGCTCAGGAGACTGAGACAGGATGATTGCAAGTTCAAAGCCAGCCTCAGCAAAAAAGCAAGGCACTAAGCAACTCAGCGAGACCCTGTCTCTAAATAAAATACAAAATGGGGTTGGGGATGTGGCTCAGTGGCCTAGTGCCCCTGAGTTCAATCCCTGATACCCCAGGAGGAAAAAAAAAAAAAAAGCACACAGTGGCTGGATGAATGGGTGAAAAGAATGGATGAAAATCAAGATCCACCAATATGTTTTCTGCAAAATAATTGACTTAAGGACACACATAAGTTGAAACTAAACAGATGGGAAAAAGATGTTTCATGCAAAAGGTAATCTCATAGAGCAGGAATAGCTATACTTATCTCAGACAAAACAGGCTTCATGTCAAAAACTGTCTCCAGAAATACAAAAGTAATTTTAAAAAAAAGAATACATTTTGACACATTGTACACAAATGGAGCTCAACTTCAACTTCTCATTCCTCTGGCTGTACACGAGTGTAATCATTGTTTGTAGATATGGTAATAATATCTGTCTCACTCCACTGTCCGTCCCACCCCCACACCCCTCTGATCTGTTGTTAAGTCACTATCTGCCCCAGGTGCCTGCAGACTTAGTGCATTCTTCTAAGATGCCTCTGTCACCTTTGATAGAGATTCCATCCAGTATCTTCCCATCACCTGAGCTTTAGTCACTTCATAGCTCTCAGCCATGTCAACAGTGTTACTGGGTGAGAGACAGAAGTCTGAAAGAAGAAATGGAGGCAAGTAGAGGGGGTCATAAATGAATGGAATAACTGGGCACGTGAAGAGTAAATGAACCCTGAGGGAGGACATGGCTCATGTGTAGTTCTCTCCACTGAGTCCTGAGCCCCAGGCCAGGAAAGAAATTTACTCCTTGACTCTGTTTCTCCAGAGTTCCAGCCATTATTTCCTTCTCAGCAGGAGTTAAGTGAGAGGCAAAGTGTTCCCCAGAGTACTCAGGACCCCCCACCACACACACACCATGGGTCAGGGCTGAACCCCTCTACTTTTATTCCCCTTGGTGTTTCCTTTTCTTTTTTGGTACTGGACATTGAGCCAAGGGGTGCTTTACCACCAAGGTCCCCGGGCATTCTTATGTTTCATTTTAAGTCGGGGTCTTGCTAAATTGAGGAGGCTGGCCTCGAACTTGCAATTTTTCTACCTCAGCCTCATGAGCAGCTGGGATTACAGGCGTGTGCCACTGGGCTGGCTCCCCCTGCTGTTTCTCAGGGTATTTGGGATTCTAGAGAAACATGGTTGTACACGGTGGCGGCCTGCTAGGGCCAAGACACAAAAGCCTTTCCTACAAATTACTGATAAAGTACCGGATAATTTTATTTATTTATGTTTTTTAGAATGTTTTTAAATTGAAATTTAAAATTTGAAGTCCTCGAACTAATTTCCCCCTCTTCACGGGGAACCCAGCTTCCTCCAAACCTCACAAGGGAGGTCCCTTTGACTCCAGATGTAAGAACTGTCAAAGGCAAGGCATGGTAGCACACGTCTGTAATCCCAGCAACTCAGGAGGCTGCGGCAAGAGGATCACAGGTTCAAGGCCAAGTTCAACAACTTAGTGAGACCCTGTCTCAAAATAAAAATAAATAAATAAAAAGATCTGGGGATGTGGCTCAGTGGTTACACACCCTTGGGTTCAACCCCAGGTATAGAGGGTTGGGGGTGAGGGAGGGAGAGAAAATAATTGGTGATTTCACAACTGATCCTTGAAAGTTTGGTCTTTTCCCTAGTGAGCCAAGCCCACTCAGTCTTTTAACATTCTTCCTTCTATTTATAAGATCTACCTTCCTCTCCCTTAAAATTCTACCCAACTATGGGACCTCCATTCCCATTCCACCTCCTGCACAAAACCATTTCTGTTTCTGGAACTCTCTACCAATGACGCCTACCATACTTATGGTCTTGGCCTAATGAATATGGAAATGAGTGGTTAATTAAGAGAGAGGTATCTACAAATAGGGTTGCCATGTATGGCTGCACAGGTTGGGCACTGCCCAAGTGTAGGAAGTACTATTCATGTAAAATAATGGGACTGAAGAGGCTCTACCACCAAATCAAATGGCCTGACATTGAACACTGGCTCAATTACTCAATTGTTTGACTAAGCCTCAGTTTCCTCATCTGTGAATGGAATGGATGCAATTAGTACCACCATATGGGATAACTGGGAAGATCAGGTAGTTGAGCAAGCTTAGGACAATACTTGGTATCTGGTTAACATTTACTGAGCACTTAATTTCATTATAATTATTATTATAGCTGATTTCTCATTTTATGTATGGGTTTCTTTTTTCTCTGAAAAGGCTATGAGCAACTTGGGGAAAATGAGTCACTCAAAAATTACAGCAGCTTATCCCTGAACCTAAGGGGAAGCAGGATCTCATGTTGTCCCCTCTTAGGAGCCTATGCCATTTCTCTTTTTGCCAAAGTCCACTTTTACTAGTTAGGCATTTTTTAAGTTATAGATGACAAAACTTCAAAGCAAACTAGCTTAAGCTAAAAGCAAGATTTATGGGCTAATGTAACTGGGAAGTTCAAGGGAGGATCTAGTGGCTTCAGGCGTGGCTTGATCCAGGCCTCTAGCTACATCATTGGGACTCTATTTCCTTCTCCATCTCTTGGCTCTGCTTCTCTGAGTGGACTTTATTCTCAGGCAGATTCTTCCACATGGCAGGCAAGCGGGACAGTGGGTGGTCAAAGCTTATCATCTGTGGCTTATGATCCAGAAGGAAGTGACACTCAGCATCCATACAGGAATCTTAAGGAGGGCCTGAGTGGCCAGGTTGGGTTACATGGCCATTCTGCGGGTTAACCACTGTGACCAGAGGGATGGGGTGCTGTGATTGACCAAGCTGGGGTCATGCATCTACCCTCATTTGACAGTGACAGTTACACAACATCCACATGCAAGAGGCAAGGGACATTTATCCAGCAGAAAGAAATTTGCCATCTTTCTTATAGCTCAGTTCACATGTCACTTCCTCAGGGAAGCTTCTTCTCCCCTGTGCCTTCTGTGACCTCAACTTTCCCACAGTAAATTATTCTCTGACTCTCCTTCAGACTAGTCTGGGAACTTGAGACAGGGACAAGAGCTTATTTATCTGTTTCTCAGGCCTAGCTTTCTCCCCAGGCTGAGCTGCTGCTGGTGGCCTGTCTGTCTAGCATTCGCTGCCCCCTCCCTACTCAAACCATGTTGGGTTCCACCCTTTCCTCCCATGGCATAGTGGAGTAGCAAATTCCACTCTATAGACTAGCTTACACCCGTTAGAGTCATCCCTTGCCAAGGGAGTGTTCCAGGAACAGGCATGTGAGCCCTCGTTTGGGTAGCTGAGACATACAGATACCTGAGAAAGAGCTTTTTGCTCTTCTGAGTGGGCCCTGGGAGCCAGCCAGCTCCTGCTCTCTCCAGTGCTGGACATAAACAAGGGAGCATTTGGCCTCAGCTGCCATGGCCTGCCACCCCACAGCTGGCAGGGAACCCCCCTGAAGAGGAAGCTGACATGGTGGAGAGTAGTGGGGTGACAGCTGAGAAACCTACACCCTTGATGGCCCTGTGAGTTGCTGGATTGGCCCATCCTGAAGTCAACCCTGCCCTAGAACTGCAGGGAGCCCTGCCACCATGTTTCTGGGGTGTTCTGTTACCTGTAGCAACAAATAACCTCAGGAAGGCCTCCCTTGGGCCAGGCTGGGCTACCAAGTGTGCCCTCTTAGACCCCCTGCCACGCACACCAGTCCTTCCCACCTCACAGTCGCAGACACTCAAAACACCTGGATGTTTTCTGTTTTTTTTAAAAACCACAGCAGTCACTTTATTCTTAAGTTTGCACTTTACAAAACCACAAAGGAGAAGTCCTTGGTGGGGGAAGGGAGTGGGGGATGGTGAAGAGGGAAAAGAGGGAGACCCAGAAACTAAGCCTTGCCCCTGGGGACCAAGCAGAAACTGGACCCCAGGACAGCCCAGTACGGCCTCCTGCAACCTAGCTGTACAGAGCTAGGCCTAAAGACCTCAGAAGAGGGCTGCAGTCCTCTAATGACTGTCACCATTTGATGGGCAACCATAGGCCAAGGCTTTTGCACCCAAAGAAGGAAGTGGGCCTGCACCAGGGCTACCCATCAAGCAGCTTCAGGATGCTCTCACGCTCCTTCAGGGTCTTCCAGGCCTGGTCCTTTTCCTTTTTGGTGGGGGTCCGCTTCTTCTGCCGGGCAGCCATGATCTTGCGAAAGGCGTCCATGACTTCATTGTCTGCCATACGGACCCGCTGCCTTAGCTCCTGTCGGCTCACCTCCTCCTTCGCCAACCTGTGGGGAAAAGGGGCCATGCTCTTCCCACCTCCAGAATGTGGCCCCTCCTTCCAGACTCAGCCCACCATCCTAGGCTGGCACTCCTGTGGACCATTTCACACAACCATGACCAAAGTGTCAAGTTAATGAACATGCTTATATGGTGCTATGGCTAGCCACTATTTTAAGCTCCTGAAAAACACGAACTCATGGCTGTGCACATGTGAGGCAGGGGGTATGTGGGAAATCTCTGTACCTTCCTCTCAATTTTGTTGTGAACTTAAAACTGCTCTAAAAAATATGTAGACACACATACTTTGATTGATCCTTCTAATAATCCTGTAAAATAAGTACTGTTATTCTCATGTTAACAATGAAGACACTGAGGCTCAAGAAGGACAAGAGATGTCCCAAGATCCCACACTTAGTGAGGGAGATTTGGAGTAGGCTGGCTCCAAACTCTTTTTGTTTTTTAAAATTTTCTTTATTCTGCTAGGTGTGGTGGTGCACACCTGTAATCCCAGCAACTTGGGAGGCTGAGGCAAGAGGATCACAAGCAACTTAGTGAGGAGACCTTGTTTCAAAATAAAAAATAGAGGGGCTGGGGCTCAGTGGTAGCACACTTGCCCGGCATGGGTTCAATTCTCAGCACCACATGTAAATAAATATAATAAAGGTCATTCAACAACTAAAAATAAAAATAAAATAAAAAATAGAAAGGAGTGGGGATGTAATAATAAAATGCCCCTGGGTTCGATCCCCCCAAATTTTTAAAATTATTCTCATTTATTTTTGGAGTCCTAGGGACTGAACACAAGGCACTCTACTACTCAACTACATCCCTATCCCTTTAAAAAAATTTTTTTTGAGGGGGGTACTGGGACTGAATTCAGGGACACTTGGCCACTGAGCCACATCCCCAACACTATTTTGTATTTTATTTAGAGACAGGGTCTCACTGAGTTGCTTAATGCCTCATCATTGCTGAGGTTGGCTTTGAACTTGAGATTCTCTTGTCTCAGTCTCCCAAGCCGCTGAGATTACAGGCATGTGCCACCACACCCGGCCCTTTTTAAAAAATTTTGACACAAGGTCTCACTAGTTGCCCAAACTGCCCTTGAACCTGTGATCCTCCTATCTTAGGTTCCCATGTTGTTGGGATTACAGGCAGGTGCCACCTCACCCAGCTCCAAACTGTTTTTAAATAACGCTGTTTAAAAAGTGTTCTGGTGCTAACAGGAGATCTGTTTACTTCAGCATCCATATTCCATAGCAGCCTAAGGCCTTGGTAGCCTGAGGCCCATAAGAAGTAGGGAGTGCTCAATCAGTCCCTCCAACTAAGATCAGACTTGGGAATTCCACTGATGGTGGAACTGAAGGTCATTAAGAGATCTGGTCCAACCTGTTACTTTTTTATAAGGGAAGCCTGCAGCTTGGGTAAGGAGTGTCTTGTTTAAGACCCGGAAGTTGGTCCACAGCAGGGCTCAGGGCTATCTCTGGCCTTCTGATAGCCTTAAACTAACTCTCCACTGCTCATTACTTCTGCAACTACACATGTGACTCTTCTCTCTTCTAGCTCTTTCTCCCCTTCCCTCTGTACTGTTATTCTCATGTTAATAATGAGGACACTGTTGTTTTTGTATTTCTTTTTGTATTTCATCCTCTTGCCCTTGAGAGGAAACATGAACTAGAAAGAGGCTTAGAATCAACCTTGGGCTCCAATCTCAGCTTGGCTGTTTAATGGCCATGTGACATTCAGCAGAGCATTTCATTTCACTGGACCTTTATTTCCTCATCTGGTAAACAGGGAAAATACTACCTACTGCCTAGGTGGTTGTCAAGATTAAAGGAGGTGGTGTGCAGAAAGCCTGGGTACATAGTAGGCACTCGGGACACATTAGTTCCCGTTATCCTTAAAACCCTACCAGCTTGTCGGAAACTACTACTTCTGGGAGTGGTGCACTCTTTTTCTTTTCTTTTTTATTGGTGTATTATAGTTGTCCATAATGGTGGGATTTGTTGTTATATATTAGTACATGCACACAATGTAACAATATAATGTGGCCAATACTGAATGGCGCATCTCTTTACTGATCATCTACTAATAGACTGGAGGTCCTTTGCTCTGCCTTTCCTCCTAGCCCCCAGGACAATGTCAGAAGAGATGCTAAGAGCTTGGCCAAATGAACAAGTGTCTTGCCTTGTCAGGGTTCTGTGAAAATAAGACACAGTACCTGCCTGAGAGAAGCAAACAATCTTGTGTAGGTTGTTTCTTTTCTTTCTTTTTGGTACTGGGGGTGCTTTACCACTGAGCTGCATTCCCAGCCCTTTTTATTTTTTGAGACAGGCCTTGCTAAATTGCTTAGGGCTTAAGTTGCTGAAGCTGGCCTTGAAGTTGTGATCCTCCTGTCTCAGCCTCTCAAGTTGCTGCGATTACAAGCATGTACCACTGTGCCTGGCTTGGCTTATTACTTGATCTCCCTAATAACAGGACAGTTCCTACCATGGTCTTCCTCTAAATGTCACCTATATCCTTGTTGTGATCAATGTAGGGCAAGATGGATGGGAATTCATATAAAATGAATAGCACCATAACTGATTTCCTAAACAATGAGTTTTTTTGTTTTTTCCCCACCTGGTTCTGGTGACTAAAACCAGGACTCTGCCAGTGAGCTACATTCCTAGGCTTTTTTTTTTTTTTCCATCTTATTTTTACACTGAGATTACAGGTGTATGCCACTGTGCAGAACAAGTTTTAAAACACTGGTCACTTTCAAGTGATAGACCAATAAAAATCATACATGTCTAAAAAAATGTTAACAGTTGATCAATCTAGGTGAAGAGCATATTGGTATTATTGTATTATTCTTTCTGATTTTTTTCTTTGAATGAAATGTTTCATAATATGAAACAAAACCATGAAAGAAAAAGAAAATAAGGTGAGGGCTGGGGATAGCTCAGGGGTAGAGTGCTTGCCTAGCATGTGTGAGGCCTGGGTTTAATTCTCAGCACTACATATAAATAAATAAAATAAAAGTCCATTTGCGGGGCTCAGTGGTGCACATCTGTAATCCCAGCAGTTCGGGAGGCTGAGACAGGAGGATCATGAGTTCAAAGCTAGCCTCAGCAATGGCGAGGTGCAAAGAACTTAGTGAGACCCTGTCTCTAAATAAAATAAAAAATAGGGCTTGGGATGTGGCTCAGTGGTTGAGTGCCCCTGAATTCAACTCCCCCACCTCAAATAAATAAATAAAGGTCCACCGACAACTGAAAAAGAAAAAAAAAAAAAAAAAAACAACCCTCAAAACACCAGGCACAGTACAGCACACCTGTAATCCCAGTGACTTAGAGGGTTAAGGTAGGAGAAGCACAAATTCAAGGCGAGCCTCAACTACTTAGTGAGAACCTTCTCAAAGTAAGAAAATAAAAAGGCTAGCAATGTAGCTCAGTGGTAGAGCACCCCTAGGTTTAATCCCCAGTACCGAAAAACAAAACAAAAATCCCTCAAATCAATCAATCACAGGTGCCTGAAGGCCTTAGTCCTGCGGAATGAGACTCACTCAGAGGCATAACCAGAGGGGTGTTGCCTAACACTGATATTTTTTTCAAGACTTTCCTGGTGATACAAAGGCTCAGCTAGGTTTGAGAAGCCTGTCTAAAGCCTTGAGAGGTGACCAGCAGTGGCTGAGGCCTCCTTGGCCTCTTCCTTGAAGCCCCTGGACCATGCCTTGGTCTATACTCACCTCAGCAGGTCGTGCTTCTTGGTGCGGTTGTGAGCACTGAGTGCCTTTAGCTCAGCCTGTCGTTTGCGCAGCTCAGCAAGGACCTCATCCTCTGAGTCCTCTGCAGGGCGGTCCTCAGACTCCAAAAGGCCCTGGGCAATCAGCTCTTCCTTGATGCGGCTCTCCAGGGACTTGGTATGCGGCACACTGTGGGGCATGGCAGGCCCCCTTAGTCTCCAGAAAATGGCCCCTCAGCTCTAGGGTCATCTTGGAGGGGGGGTGTACTTAGAGGTTCCCAGGGCTTCCGAAGGTCAGAGAACACTTTCTATTTGCTCTGGGAACCCCATTTCCAAATATAGATACACACATACATATACATATTTTCCAGATTTTGCTATACATTAATTATAATGTTTGCTATAAATTATTCCAGGGAAAACTATGCATACACATTTAAATATATTTTAAGTAAAAATAGGATCATACTGTCCATATTGGACTACAATGAATAGTTTCACCATTTGTTACTCTATTGTTTATATGCTTTTATGTCAATTAAGTATTTTCTTTAATATGATTCAAAGTTGCAAGTTACCTCATCATATGGAGGTAGGACAACTGAGCCAACAAATCCCCTTCAGTTGGGCATGCAGGCTATTTACACGATAAGCAGTATGAACTAGCCTGTACTCAGCCTGTGTACGCAGAAATGCTGGGCTAGCACTCATGATGAGACTTCTACTGGGCTTTACTAGACTCCCCAGCTTTGCTGTTAATGCAAATCTCCCCACATCAAGATGAGCAGAAGCCAAAAGGCAAGCAAGGGCCAGGCTGCGAGGTGTAGACAGGATGCCACTCACCTGAAGGGCTTATTCTGATTGCGGGGAGAGGTGCTTGCCCCGTCGGCCCCTGATTCTTTCCCAGACATGTCAGGAATAGGAGAGTCCTCCATAGGGGAAATAATATTTTCCTGGAAGACCACAGAAATGGAGTGGAAAGAGAAAGACTTGTAGTATTTCGTTTTTCCTACTGATCTTCATAGATAAGCCTTCAGGGGCCAGAAATACCCTTTAATTTTTTCATTTCACCCTCTTCTGGGAAGCCTTAGCAAAAAGTGTTGATCATTCTACAAATTCCTTTTTTGTTGTTATTGTTTTAGGAATTGATACCAGAAACAGGAAACACAGAAGAATAATGATAATAACTCAACAACAGTAGTAGGAGCAGCTAAGGTTGATAAAGCATTTGCAAGGAACCCCACACTGTGGGACATGTGTGGGAGAGGGGGCGCACGACCCAACTGTGCTCTCCTTTCTTCTATAATAGCTGGGCACAACTGCATTTCCTAAGTTCCCTTGTAGTCAGGTGTGGCCATGGAATACTTTTCTCCAGGGGAAAATAATCAAGAGATGTCCCAGCTAGTTATGGCCCCCAAAGCTTCCTTTACATATTGCTCCTTGTTGCCCGGCACAGTAGTGTATACCTGCGATCCTAGTGACTCAGGAGGCTGAGGCAGGAGGATGGAAAATTTGAGGTCAGCCTCAGCCAACTTAGCTAGGTCCTAAGGAATTTAGTGAGACCTTGTTTCAAAATTAAAATTAAAAAAGACTGAGGATGTAGCTCAGAACCTGGGTTCAATCCTCAGAACCAACCAACCAAACATACTCTTCCATTTTCAATCTTTGTAGGATTGAAGTAGCAATCACACCCAGAGTGACTGTGCAAAGCCACCATCAGTCTTGGTGGTGTAGGGCCATGACCTTCCCCTACCTCTACCTTATTCAACCTGGAACATGTGCCCCAGATTGTTATATGAGAGAGAAATAAATTATTGTCTTTGAGACAAAAGAAGAAACTGAGGCCCAGTAAGGTGAGAGGTTGTGCCCAAGGTCAGGCAGTGGGTATTAAGATAAAGACCCTGAAGTAAAGGTTTGATCCTACCTTTGCCTATTAGCTGTGTGATCTTAAGCAAACTTTTCTGAACCTCAGTTTTCTCACATGTAACACAGAGCTAACCACTGTCATTGCTCGCATAAGATGTGTGGAAAGCCTCACACAAGACTTAGCCCTTTGCCTACACTCAGCAAAAGAGACTGTGGAAGAGAAGCTATCTTTGGAGGTTAGAGACTAGGAAGGATGTGAGACTAGCTTCTAGAATATAGTAATGTTTTATTTTATGATCTCTAGGTTGGTAATACAAGCTTATCTGTGAAATTTTATAAAGCTGATAAACATAAAGCTCTTTCTCCTTTTTTTTTAAAAATTATTTTGTACAGGGGATTGAACCCAGGGGCGCTTTACCACGGAGCCACATTCCAGTCCTTTTTATTTTATTTTTGAGACATGGTCTTCCTAAGTTGCTCAGGGTTTTACTAAGTCGCTGAGGCTGGCCTCAAATTTGCCATCCTTTTTTTGGCGGGGTACTGGGGACTGAACTCAGGGACCAACACTCAACCACTGAGCCACATCCCCAGCCCTATTTTTTTGTATTTAGAGACAGGGTCTTAGTAAGCTACTTGGTACCTTGTTGTTGCTGAGGCTGGCTATGAACCTGTGATCCTCCTGTCTCAGTCTCTCAAGCTGCTGAGATTACAAGTGTGCATCACTGTGTCCAGCCAAACTTGCCATCCTTCTGCCTCAGCCTCCTGAGTCACCGCACTGGATAAAGCATTTTTTTTTTTTAATTGTACATGGACACAATGCCTTTATTTTATTTATTTTTATGTGGTGCTAAGAATTGAACTCACTGCCTCACGCCTGCTAGGCAAGTCCTCTACCACTGAGCCACAACCCCAGCCCTAAAGCATTTTTTTTAAAAAGGAAATGTGGTTCCTGTTTTGAGCTGGCATACTCACCTCCACCAGGGCCTGCAGGAGGCGCTGTGTGAGGGCACCAAAGGGGCACCCATCTTCTGGCTGTTCATGCTGGGCCTCTGACTTCTTCAACAGAGCATCCACATCTGAGGTAGGCAGAATAGAGAAGGACAGGTGGGCTGAAGATGGAAACCCAAGTCCTGGCCTGGGGTGGGACAGGAAGGGAGGGGCAAGGAGGAAGGAACCTACCTTTAGTGTCTAGTTCAGTCAGTGGCCCCATGAGGCCTTTCTTCTTGTCAGCCACAGCTGCTGCCCGGGCCCCGTCCTTCTGCTCTTCCAGCAGGTCCTCCTGGGCCCAGCGCTGGGAATAATGCTTCCCCAGGGGTGGGATCTGTGGGAGAAATGCCATTTAGCCTTGAAGGGTAAACACTAGCTGGCCATGCCTAGAGCATGGAAGGCTCTGCTTGCACTTGACATTGCCAGCAAGCTTTCCATTCACTTATTTTTACTGTCTCCCAAGTCCTTAACCCAGGGTCATAGGTGGTGCCACATACAGATGAAAAGGAACAAAGAAGATAAAATCTCTACACTCACATTCTAGACAGGCACATAAAGAACCAAAACACAGCTGGGCACAATGACGCACACCTGTAATCCTAGCAATTTGGGAAGCTGAGACAGGAGAATTCCAAGTTTAAGGCCAGCATCAGTCATTTAAGCAAGAACCTCAGCAACTCAGTGAGACCCTGTCTCAAAATAAAAAATAAAAAGGGGTGGGGATGTAGCTCATTGTTTATATGCTTTTATGTCAATTAAGTATTTTCTTTAATATGATTCATAGTTACAAGTTACTTCATCATATGGAGGTAGGACAACTGAGCCAATAAATCCCCTTCAGTTGGGCATGCAGGCTATTTACACTACCTGGATTCAATCCTGAATTGAAATGATTTCCTAACTATGGAGTCCAAAATAATATGGACATATGGGCTGTCTCAGTCACAACTATTGCCTCCACAGAAGAGAACTAGGAGATTCTGGGTGAAAGCAAATTATTTTTTGTGTTGCTTGAGCTTACTACTGCCTATATGGACTGCTTTTTCAAGTAATTTGGTGGTTGTTTTGTTTTGTTGGTTGAGTATTGACCATAGAGCCTCTCAAAAGCTAAGCATGGGTTCTGACACGGAGGTAGAGCCTGTCCTCAAATTTTAAAAAAATTCAGACACGTGAAATTAAAGAGGTAGATTCAAGGTGTTGTGGTAGTACAAATATGAGAATGTTTTGTTGTGAAATGTGAAGTCATTTTGGTGGTGGTAATACGAGATCAGGGCCTTGAAGGGAAAGTCAATCCCTGAAGGGGAGAAGAGCTTATGTACGGGCCTAGAGACCTAGAGTGATGGCAAGGTACTTGGCAGGGCTGGTAAATACAGCAAGGAAGAGGGATGTGGCCAAGGAAACTAGAGAGGGGCACTGGGGCTGTATCACCATGAACCAAGACACTTGAACTCAATCCTGTGGATAACAGCAGCTAGGCCAGGCCTGGAAGCAGGCCCACGTCATAAGCACCTCTGATTGTGGCAGGTGAGCTATTGTAGAGGACCCCCGCCCCAAGTACTTTCTCATATTTTCTTTAATAAAATATGCTTTTATTTTCATTGTAGAAAAACTAACTTTTAATGTGGGCACAGTAGTGCATGTCTGTAGTCCCCAGCCACCGAGGGGGCTGAGTCAGGATTGCTGATAGAGCCCAAGGGTCAAGGCTAGCTTGGACAATATAGTGAGATCTGTCTCTTTAAAAATTCTTTTAAGCTGGGTGTGGTGGCACAAGCCTGGAAACAAGCTTCAGGAAACAGGAGGCAGTAAGATCACAAGTTCAAGGACAGCGTGGGCAACTTAGTAGGACCCTGTCCATAAATAAATAAATAAATAAATAAATGGGCTGGAGATATAAATGGGTATATCTCCAGCCCATTTATTTATAATCTCCAGCCCATTTATTTATTTATGGTGCCCTTTGGTTTGATCCCTAGTATCTCTCTCTCACACACACACACACACACACACACACACACACACACACAATTCTCATATATTAAAGTAAACTCAGTCTGAGGCAGGAAGACTGTAAATTCAAGGTCAGCCTCAGCAACATAGTGAGACCCTGTCTGAAAATAAAAAATATAAAGGGCTGTGACTTGGTGGTTAAGCACCCCTGGGTTCAATCCCTGGTACACCCCACCCCCACAAAAAAAGAGGCTCTATAATAGGTGAAGGCTTGAACCAAAGCAGAGGGGATAGAGATGAGGGGACAAGGGGGAACTTCACTGATGTAGCTGCCTGAGGCTGTGGTGTCTGGGGTCCAGAGAAAGTGGTGCAAGAAGAAAGCTGAGAGTCTGAGTCTGGAGTCTGGATAGGCTAATGCAGCATACAGGGGGCTGCCAGGGTAGGGAAGGGCACATGATGCATGGCTCTGCTGTCTATGATTCTGAGGCACCACTGACCCTCTTGTTCTCCCCCTTGTCTGTGCAGGCCCAGCATTTCTACCTTGTAATGTTCAGCTTCATCTTCTGGGGGTTTCAGGAGTTCCTCCAGCGTGCGCACCTCCTCACTGGTGATATCAGCACAGTAAGGCTCCACAGAAGCCCAGAACCTGTGGGGAGAAGCAGATCCTGAGTGAGTACCCTTCTGGGCCTCAGTCTTGGGTCCTCCCACTATATTCTCTGACCAGAACCTGTTGGGGGCATCGTTCTTGGGGATCCGCGGCACATCGATTGGGTCATCAGTAAATTCATATTCCTGGATCTTGGGTTGAAGGTTTTTGGATTTGGGTCGCCCAGGGCCAGGGCCTGGCCCATGTCCAGTCTTCCCTTCCAGTTTCTGCTTCTTGGGTTTCCCATGTTTAGGGGGAGCTCCAAGCTCATGGTCTCGACCCAGTTTCATGAATCTTCGGTCACCTTTCTTATCCTGCCAGTCAGTAAGGATCTGAAATTTACAGAGATTGTCACTGAGAAGGAGGGAAGACATAGAATAACTCTTTTTTTCCAATGAATAAATGAGGATCTAGAATTCAAGGAGGCTCCAGGATTTCCCCCTTACCGTTTTGCTTAACAAACTCCTAACCATCCTTTAAAACTAAGTTGTTTTTTTTTTTAATGGATCATTTATTTATTTATTTATTTAATATGCTGGGCTAAGGAGTGAACCTAGGGCCTTACACATGCCAGGCAAGTATTCTACCACTGAGCCACAACTCTAGACCCTAAAACTCAGGTTTCATAGGATTTTATTCACATACTTCTCAACTTTCCATTCACCTGTCTGTCTGTAGTCTTATTCACCTATGTATCACCCAAGCTAGTCACACACAGTAGAAAAGTCAAATAAATGATCAGACCCCAGTGCATGTCAGCCCTGGGGAAATATGCTGGAGGTGACTTTTTGTGAAGACTCCCAGTAAACTTTAATTTCAAATGTCAACCGCCTGCAAAGCTTTCCTTGGCTCAGTTACTTAGCTTCCTTGGTTTTAAAACACAACTGATTGTACCACAAATTCTTTTAGGTAAAGTTAAAATGGCATCTCCTCCCTCTCTGAATCTGGCACCTTGCACTTCCACTGGAGACCCAATCATGTTGCCTGATCACACTGCAAAAGCACTGTACCTTCTCTTTACTGGACTAAGCTACCTGAGATCAGGAAACTTATCATAACCATCTCTATTCCCCAAGATCCAGATTGATGCCTAGGACTTGGAGCTCTGGGGATGTTAATACACTGAATAAAAATAACTGGAATAGTAGCTATAAATAACATTTGGAATTTTTACTTAGTGTCAGACACTGGGCTGAGCCTTTGCAAACATTCTTTTAATCCTCACAAAAGATCTAAAGTGAATTCTATTGTTAAGCCCACTTTGCTGACAGGCTCAGAGATAGGAGCTAACTTTCTCAAAGTCACATAGGTAAGAAACATCAACACTACAAAGTGCTTAGGCAAAGGTTCAAATCTAGATCTCCCCATTCCTTTTAGTTGGCAAGTTCCCTGATGGCAAAATGGTTCTAAATTATCTCCCTCTACTGACTAGCACAGGACCCAAAACATAATGGTAAGTGGGATCAATAAAAGCTTAGTGAATGAGAACACTTGCAATTTACAAGGATTATGAACATTATATGTATTTAATGTATCACATGAGCTGTTTGTGTATCTCTCTCTTCTCATCAGTCCCTCAACCTCAGCATATGAAGCTAACCTAATGACCCACCCCATAACTTGACACAGTGCATTTCCGGTGATGTCCCCTCTTTGGGGTATCACCTGGGTTTCAGCCTCCAGCACACGCAGACGCCGGCTGGCAGAGGACAGCAAAGTCTCAAGCTCCAGCTGCAAGGTGTCCAACTCCTCAATGCCGATGCCATCATCCTCAGAGCGGGCCAGCACTGCTGTGTAGCGAGGACACACCTTCAAGTGGTCTACAGATTTGAAGTCATGGAACTGCAACGGGCAGTCCTTTAGCTCACTCATGGCCCAAGAGATGTAACCCTGTGGAGCTGGAGAGGAAAGGGCTGTTGATGGGAGACAGTGGCATAAGAAAAGCCCAAAGGCTTCTTCCACTGGGGAATTCAACAAAAAAGTCAAGTTTCTTCCTTACTAACAAGATTGACAGCACAGCTCCTATTTACAAAGCCCCTACCATGCACTAAGCTAGGTGCAAAGCTTATCTTACTGAATTCCTCACCCACCTCCATAAGCAGGGACCACTGTGATGGTCTTTTTACAGAGAAAGAAACCAAGACTCTGAAAGGGTGAGGACATGCTTAAGCTTCCAAAACTCAACTTGACCCCAGGTAGTTCCTGAGTGTGCAGTCTCTGTGCCCAGGCTTCCTGATGCCCTTCCCTCCTGTTCTTCTCCTGAGCCTCTGAGTTTCAATCATCCCCCTCCTTACAACGTTCTCTGTGCCTCCCAGCCTCTCCTTGTTTCATCCTATTCCACCTTTTTCCCCTTTCTATGCCACCTTGGCTGGTTTGGAAGGCTGGTCGGGAGACAAAACTGAGTTCAAGCCCATTTTCTACTTATGTGCCCCTGAACACGTTATTTAAACGGAGTCTCAGTTTTTCCATATGCAAAATGGGGACAAAACAAGAGGTCTCTGTTTCCCCCATAGAAGTATGAATCTGTAAAATGGGGACAACAGTACCTACCTACCTGGGATGTGCTGAGGATTAAGAGATGATGCCCAGTTCAGTGCCTGGCACAGAAGAAGTGGGACTGCTTAATGGCTGCCCCACCCGTGGGTCGCCTCAATGTCCCGCCTCCAGCGTCCCCGTCCTCTAGGGAGCCCCTAACGCAGCCCCCGCCCCCTCTGCCTCCTCTCTGCGGCCTCCCGCGGCCCCCGGGCCGCAGGAGGGGGCGGGGAGCCGTGGTCTAGCCGAGCAACCGCCCCGGAACTGGCTATGGGCGGAACCCTGTAGTTGACGCGGGGGCGGGGAGACAGCGAGGGCGAGCCCACTGAGGCCAGCGGGGGGGTTGGGGTGCGGGCAGCCAGCGAGCCTGCGGAAGGCCCCTGTAATAGGCCTCCAGAGGACCCTTGGGGACAGCCCGAGGCCGGGGGCGGGGCTCGGCAGCCGAGATCTCCGCGCGGCAGTTAGCTCCACCAAGCCCCAGGGGCTGCAGGTAGGAGGGGCGCGGAAAAAGGATGGGGGCGCAGCGCCGGAAGGAACGTAAGCTTCTCCGCCTCGGCTTGTCCTAATTTGGAGCCCAACCTAAGGTCGGGCTGTACTATTGTATGATAGGGGGAAGGCTACGGGAAAAGGTGGCCCAAGAGTCGAAAGCATGAGGGAAAGATGCATGGGTAGAGGGAAAAATTTGATTAGTTATTTGGAGCTTCAGGACTTTAAAGATACCATGATAGTCCCAGAGTGAAAATTTCATGAAGATCCAAACGTTCCTAGACTGTCCTACCCTGTTCTGAAAACAAGATGGTGCCGCCCGGAAGTCTGGGCGGAGACTGCGGCTGCGCTGCTCGCGAAAGGGCAGTCGTCGCGGGGCTGGCCACTTCCGCACTTCCGCTTTCCGGCCGAGCCAGCGCCCGCGATGGTGAGAGAGCCGGGCCCCGCGCCAGGGACCCCCTCAATTCTGTCTTAAGGCTACGGGTTTAGGGGAGATGCTACTTCGCCGCGGTGACCTGGGGCCGAGGGGTGTCAGAGAGTGTGGGGGCACGATGAGGGTTGGAAAAAGGGTGGGGCGCGGGCCAAAGTGAGGAAGGGGCAAGCAGGGGAACTGGCTGATAAGAAGCAGGCCTTGCGGCTTCCTGGTTGGGCATGCAAGGCAGGTATAGAATATTCCTGAAGCATGGAGGAAGCCGGAAGCGGGGCATCTAGGCTTGTGGTAGTGCCTGAAGGCCCGCAGTAGGCCCAATAGCCTTGTCTTGAGGCCGCTGAAGTATGTATTAGGGCCACTTCCTTGTCTAGACTAGAGCTTCAGTGAATACACCCCCTCGTCCTCTCTTTCCTTCTTGACTCCACTGTTTTACCAAGTCAGGTGCCCACTTTTCCTTGACCTCCGGTGGGTACCTCCAACCTTGTTTCTATCCCAGTGGAAGGTCACTCTGTGTTGCCTCCATTCACGGGTCATCCTATTCAGAGCTAAACTGTGTTGACTTTATGTAAAGTCGTACTGTCCATCCCTCCCTTCCTGGGAATCTTTCCCTTTCATATATGTGATAGTTCCAGGGAGTTGTGACTGTGGCTCACCACCTCTCCCTCTTATCACTTTTCTTGCCTCCAGGCTTTGGTGACCTGTGTTCTGGTGACTCCTTAGTCTGCATTCCCAGCTGTCATTCAAGGATCACCTAGTTGTTTTGAAATTAGACCACTAGTTCAAAAGCCTGTCTAAACCGCCTGTTCCTCCTGTGCTACTTTTCATACCTCGCTGAGAAATGTGATGGGGTTTTTGTTTGTTTTATTTTGGTCTGATTGAGAAGGTGCTTTTTTACCTATTTATTTTTGCGGTTCAGGAGATAAAATTCAGGGCCTCATTCATGCTAGACAAGCTCTCCGACACTGAACTACCTCTCCATGCCTGTGTGTGTGTGAGAGAGAGAGAGAGAGAGAGAAGGGAATGTCCTTGGAAAGGAACCTGGGGTGCTCTACCATATTCTCAGCCCTTTTTATTTTATTTTATTTTGTATTAGGGTCTGGCTAAGTCACCCAGGCCACTTGAGATCTTCCTATCTCAGCTGCTGTAGTAGCAGGGATTACAGGAATGCACCATATTTGGCTTGATTTTTTTAAAAATTCAAGTTTGAGACATTTCATCATACTATCTTATTTTATCCATAAAAGTAAGGCATCACAGGGTTGGCCACCTAAATTTTACCTTTATATTTATTATCTATAAATGTTGACAGGCATGTAACCATTGCTACAATCAAAGTACAGAATATTTTCATCACCTCACAACATTTTTTCCAGTCCCTTTGTAATCCTCTTCTTTTCCCCAACCCCAAATACCACTGATTTTTTTTTTTTTGCCCTTATAGTTTTGTTTGCTTTTTCCATATTGTCTTATATATGGAATTCTTTCATGTACTAGCTTTTTATTATTATTATTATTATTATTATTTTACATGATGCAGGGGATTAAACTCAGGGCCTGGCACATGCTAGGCAACCACTCTACCAATGAACTATACCCCTGTTCTCTAATATATAGACTTTTAAGTATGGCTTTTTGCTCTAATACATTTGACATCCATTCATGTTGTGTGTATCATAGTAGTTATTCCTTTATTGCTTAATAGCATTTTATTGTATGAGTGGACCATGTTTTTTTTTTTTTTTTTAATATCATTATCTTCTGCATCTAATGTCACTCCTTGTGGTTCTCTGTCCTCTTTACTGTCCCTGTCCAGGTTCTCATAAGAACTTCTTGAATAACCCTCTCTGCTGTATGTCTCACTTCCCTCTCCAGCCCATTCCCCAAAGAGCCACTGTGCAGCTGAAGTCATGTAACTTCCTCCTCAGAAAGCCCCAGTTTAAAAGAAAAGCTAACTTAGTAGCCTAGCATATAAGATCCTCATGATTTTAGACCAGCCTTCTGTTGGCAGCTTCATCTATACAATCTAAAATGCTTCACATGTACAGAAACCTTATACTTGTTACTGCTATTGGAACTCCTAATGCCCTTTTTTATTCTATCCTTGTTATTTCATTTTTTTCTACAGAAAGTTGGTAAGACATTAAATGTGAGGTACTGAGCTAGCTAGGTCCAAGCTATGTAACTGAATGAGGTAGACATGGTTTACAGTCTAGTGTGAAAGAGAAATCACTTTACAGGGAGACATAAAAGATATGTCATGGTAAATTATAATAAATGCAAAGAAGGGGGAAGTCAAGAAAGATTTCTTTGAGGAAGGAAGAGGCCTTCCCTAATAAGCTGAGCTCTGAAGGATTGAAGCAGTAAGAGGAGAAAAGCCTCCAGATAGGTGTTCAACTTGTATAATGTCTTGAGGTGAGAAAGAACTTGACTAATGTAACTAACCAGTGTAGATAGAAGCTGATTCCTCTACTGGGAATGTTTTTATTCTATTTTTTTTTCCTCATTGTAAATTCCTGATCCTATATCCAGTCAAAACCAGTTTTTTTTTTCTGTCAATATAGATTACTTATAATTCTGATTGTTTTGTACTTATAATTCTGATTGTTTTGTACTTCGTCCTACATTAAACCACATGTCCTCCACCCAGTTGAGCTATTTGAGGGCAGAAATGATCTACACATCTTTGAATTCCCAGCTAGCTCACTGCCTGGCAAATGGTTGACCTCTGTGCTTATTGGCTTAATGTACAGGTTAAGGACATTCACCTGGGTACCTCTGGATCAATTACTTGGCACCTTTTACATTTAGAGCTGGATGATTTTGTTGTATGTCACAGGATGTTCAGCATCACCTCTGTCCTAACCATAACCCTAACCCTGTCCATTTAATACCAGTTGTACCCAGACAAGTCATGACAATCCATATGTTTATTCTGAATGTCTCTGGTCAGGCAAAATTGCTTCCTGTTCAGAACCACTGCTCTACACTTAAGACTGAAAGGCATCTTGAAAGCCTAATGGATTCTGTTCACTGTGACATCCCATATCTGGATACTTTCAGGCCAGCCTGGCTCCAGGAGAGCTGGAGTAGTAGACCAGTGGGGTGGGTGAGGCAGATTCTGATTCTCCCCAACTCTTGTTTTTTTTTTTTTCCTACAGACTGCCACTCTCCGCCCCTACCTGAGTGCCGTGCGGGCCACACTGCAGGCTGCCCTCTGCCTGGAGAACTTCTCTTCCCAGGTTGTGGAACGACACAACAAGCCAGAGGTGGAAGTTAGGTAGGAAAGGAAAACATCATCAGGGGCAAAGTATTAGTGCTATTTAGACAGTGCCATGAACCTATGTCCTGGAATTGTCAGGATAGCTTCAGTTCACATAATTTGTCTTGCTGCCAAGGTGAACAGTGATTCCTGATTTGGAGTGAAGAAAAGAGGGTCAGTGGGTTGGCAGGGCAAAACCCAGGGGAATATTTCTTTTGGAGCCAAGACTGCCTGAACAGGGCTGTTCATGAAGTAACTCCTGTGGCTTTATTGAATTCATTGGCAGTTTAAGTAGAGTTTGGATAATTTGTTTATCTGAGATGCCATCTCTACACGTCTCTGTTGTTTTTGTTGTTACTGCATATTGAACCCAGGGGTACTCTACCACTGAGCTACACCCCCAGGACCACCCCCCCCCGGACACTTTTTTTTTTTTTAATGTTGGGACTGAGTCTCTTAAGTTGCTGAGGCTAGCCTCATACTTGTGATCCTCCTGCCTCATCCTCCCAGGTTTCTGGGATTACTGATGTGCACCATCACACCCAGCTACTGTTATGCTTCTTAATATACATGGTTTCTACTAGACATTTAAAAATATTAACAGCTCACAGACTGCCACAGTTAACTACCCTAGAGATAGCAGAGATTGGGAGGTGTTAACTTGAGACCTGAGCTTATAGGAGTCCCAATGGTACAAAAGTGAATCATTCTAGGTTAATAATTAAAGGACTTTAGGGCTGGAGGTGTAGATTAGTGGAAGAGCACTTGCCTAACATGCATGATGTCTGGGCTCAACCCTCAACCATGTCCCCCCAAAAGAAGAAGAAATTAAAAGAGGCCAAACTGTGTTTATTCAGTTTTAGCCTGTCATTATTCTGGAACAGAGGCTTTCCTCATCCCCTAAGTGGCATATTGATTTGCCTATAATTATTAAAATCAGCTATCTTTGGCAAAGCTCTTAACATGTACTGGGCACACTGTTTAGACATTTGAGCCTTTTTGATTTCTCCTAATCTTCACCTGTGAAATAAGAATCAGAGTCATTTTACAGATGAGGAAGTTAAAATTCCAATCCTGTGACATGTCCAAGGAACATAACAGGAAGCTGAATTTCAAAACCTTTTTTGCCCTGA